TTGTGGGGATCGTAACATCTATGTTCATCAGCAAAATTGGCCTGTAGTTTTCTTTCTTTGTAGGGTCTTTATCTGGTTTTGGGATTAGGGTGATGCTGGCCTCATAAAAAGAGTTTGGGAGTCTTCCCTCCTCTTGGATTTTTTGGAATAGTTTGAGAAGGACAGGGGTTAGCTCTTCCTTAAATGTTTTGTAAAATTCTCCTGTGAAACCGCCCGGCTGAGGGCTTTTGTGTGCCGGGAGTTTCTTGATTACTGCTTCAATTTCCCCAGCTGTTATCGGTCTGTTCAAGCTTTCTGTTTCTTCCTCCTTCAGTGTTGGAAGATTATACTTTTCTAAAAATTTGTCCATTTCATCAAGGTTTTCAAATTTCTTGGCATATAATTGTTCATAGTAGTTTCTGACGATCCTTTGTATTTCTGTGGTATCAGTTGTTATTTCTCCTCTTTCATTTCTGATATTATTAATCTGGGTCCTCTCCCTTTTTTTCTTGATGAGTCTGCTTAAAGGCTTGTCAATTTTATTTATCTTTTCAAAGAACCAGCTTCTGGATTGGTTGATCCTTTGAATTGTCCTTTTCGTCTCTATGTCATTCAGTTCTGCTCTAATCTTGACTATTTCCTTCCTTCTACTTGCTCTGGGATTTATTTGTCGTTGTTTCTCCAGTTCTTGAAGTTGTAGTGTTAGGTCTTTTATTTGAAATGTTTCTATCTTTTTTTAGGGAAGCCTGTATTGCTATGAACTTCCCTCTCAGGACCACCTTTGCTGTGTCCCATAGGTTTTGGACTGTTGTCTGTTCATTTTCACTTGTTTCCAGAAATTTTTTGATTTCTTCTCTTATCTCATTATTGACCCATTCATTGTTTAATAGTGTACTGTTCAGTCTCCATGAGTTTGCAAGTGTTTGAAGTTTCTCTTTGAGGTTGATTTCCAGTTTCAAGCCCTTGTGGTCTGAGAAAAAGTTTGGTACTATTTCAATTTTCCTGAATTTGCTGAGGTTTACTTTGTGTCCTATCATGTGGTCTATCTTAGAAAAACTGCCATGAGCATTTGAAAAGAATGTGTATTTTTCTTCTTTGGGATGTAAGGTTCTATATATGTCAGTTAAATCTATTTAATTCAGTGTGTCATTCAGGTACACGATATCTTTATTAATGTTTTGTTTGGAAGATCTGTCCATTTTTGATAGTGGGGTGTTGAAATCCCCTACTATCAGTGTGTTGCTGTCTATATCTTTTTTGAAGTCATCCAACAATTTCCTTATATACTTGGGGGCTCCTATATTGGGAGTATATAAGTTTACAATGTTTATGTCTTGATAGATTCTTTCTTTAAGTATTATAAAGTGCCCCTCTGGGTCTCTTTTTATGGCCTTTGTTTTGAAATCTACTTTGTCTGATACAAGTATGGCAACCCCGGCCTTTTTCTTGCCCATTTGCTTGGAATATTTTTTTTCATCCTTTTACTTTCAATCTGTGTAGGTCTTTTGCTCTGAGGTGGGTCTCTTGTAGGCAGCATATGTGTGGGTCATGTTTTCTTATCCATTCAGCTACCCTGTGTCTTTTGATTGGGGCATTTAGTCCATTTACATTGAGAGTTATTACTGATAGAAATTTTTCATTTTTTTCTCTTTGTACCTGTGTTTTTCTCTTTCTCACTCTTTTCCTTCATCTTCTTAAACCAGTTCCTTTAGCATATCTTGGAGTGCTGGTTTGGTAGAGAATTATTCTTTTAGCCTTCTTTTGTCTGGGAAACTCCTTATTTCCCCTTCTATTTTAATTGAGAGCCTTGCTGGGTAGAGCAGCCTTGGTTGTAGGCCCTTGCTTTTCATTACTTGGAATATTTGTTGCCATTCCCTCCTGGCTTGTAGTGTTTCTGATGAGAAGTCAGCTCCTAGCCGTATCGGGGGGCCCCTTGTATGTTACTTTCTCCTTCTCCCTTGCTGCCTTGAGGATTCTCTCTTTGTCTTTGACATTTGCCATTTTAATGATGATGTGTCTTGGAGTGGACCTCTTTGAGTCCCTCTTGAGTGGGGTCCTCTGTGCCTCCTGGATCCATGAGACCCTTTCTCTCCTCAAATTAGGGAAATTTTCCATTATTACTTTTTCGAGGAGGTTCTCTATCCCTTGCTCCTCTTCTTCTCCTTCTGCTATCCCTATTATATGGATATTATTGCGTTTCAGGTTGTCCTGCATTTCCCTAAATGCCTCTTCATTCTTTTTGAGTCTTTTTTCCTTTCTTGTTCTTTCTGGGAGCTTTTTTCTACCTTATCCTCCATCTCACTGATTCAATCCTTGGCTTCATCCAGCCTGCTTTGGATTCCTTCTACTGTGTTCTTCAATTCAGAAATGGTATTCTTAATATCCTCTTGTGTCTTCTTGATAGTTTCTATGTCCTTTTCCAGGTTGATATAGTTTGTCGTAAGATCCTGATAGTTTCTCTGCAGTTTCTCATAGTTATCTTTGAGCTGGCTGAGCTCATTGAGCTTCCTTAGAACCATTGTTTTGAATTCCATATCTGATAGTTCCCTTGCCTCCATTTCATTTAGCTCTCTCTGTGGGGAGTCCCCTTTTCCACTCATTTGGGGGGAGCTTCTTTTTCTTCCCATTTTTGTGAGAGTCTATTAAGTTATTCATTCATTTATTTATTTATTTGTTTATGCTTCTGCTTCGATTGGGCTGTCTAGATTTCCTGACTTTGTGGATTAAACTTCTATGGTAGTAGGCGGGTCTTTTTATTTATTTATTATTTTTTTTTCCTTTACTTTTCTTTCTGGGCCTGCCTCTGATGATGTCAGTTGTTGACCCTGTATGACCTTGGGTCATTTGTTTGAGCCTTCCAGGAGTCTACTGTCTGTGTCTGACTCCTGCTTTTGGCAGCTCTGTGACCCCTTCAGCCAGGGATTGACTATTTCTGTGGATCGCTCTGCACTCTCACGCTGGCTCCTTGAGCGCACTCCCTCGCAGGCCGCATCGGTGCCAACCTGTGGGAGGCCTTGCCAGCCCGTGCGAACCCTCGCCAGCCCGCGCAGGTCCACACACACACTCACCAACCCTCGCCGGCCACTCGGCGCAAGTGTGCACTCCTGCACTGGGTGGTTTTGGGCTGTCTATTGTGTGCTTTTCAGCTAGATTGATTTTTTAAGAGTCAAAAGTCATTCAGAGCTCAGTGTAGTGAATAAGATGTGTCATGAAGCTAGGAATATCATTTTGAGTTTTTTAAAAAAGCAGTGATTATAAAACAATAAACTAGATTTCCTTATATGAATCATAAAAACAGCTCAGAGATGAGCTGGTTCTGCAGCAGTTCAGGGCCTCATTTCCTAAGCTTATAGTTAAGGATGCCAAACTTGCTCCCATTCCAGAGTATTAGCACCTGCTGTTCCCTGTGTCTGGAACACCCATTACATTTATTACTACCTCATTTCACTCACATCTCCGATTCAATGTTCATCTCATCCAAAAGGCCTTCCTTTATTACCTGACCTAAAATAAATCCATTACTGTCCCTTTCTGTTCCATGACACTGCTTTCCTCTAAAAAAAAAAAAAGGAATTGTCATTTCCCTGATATATAGTTTTATATCTATTTGGTTTGTGTGTCCTTAATATCTGTCTCAGTCACCAGCATATACGCTCCATGATGAAAGGGGCTTTATTTAGTGCTATAGCTCCAAATTTCTTCTAGATATCCAAATTTCAGAAAATAAATTCAATGAATATGTTTATAATAAAAGAGAAAAGAAGAGAGAGAAAAAAATGAAGAAAGGAAGAGCAAGAAAGGTAGCAGAGAAGTAGCAAAAGGGATGAAGAAATCCCGGATGAACCATAATTGGTTATTCTGCTGTTACTTCTTTTTAGTGGAGGTTTGACTCCAAGGCTTCCTTCCAATAAGAACATTTCAGAATGGGTTTATGTCTCCTTTGGGGATTTATTCCAGAGGAATGGGTGCCCTAAAGAAAGGAGTTCCATTACCTTTTAGAAGAATTTAGGTGGTTGACTATTATAATTACAGTGGCCATCATCTCTCCAGTCCACACAAGTACAGATTGAGTGAACATCTGAGAACTGACTGAGTCACACAGATACTTTAATGACTTCTAGTGGAATTAGGTTGTGTTTGTATTACTTTTAACATTTTTTAATTTTCATACTTAACTGACATTTGGATACTTGCATTTCTTTCAGGATCTTGATGAACAGATTTACATAAAGCTAGAGGCAAGCCTCTGAAAATACTTGTCACTAACTATATGCTACTCTTACTGTGCCCCTCGCTTATGGCACAGAGTTCAGATCCTTTCAAGAGACATATATCTAAGTCACATTTCATTAATGTCTCTGCATCCTCGAGCTGTCCACTCCTTATACACAGCTTATCAAAGCAGGTTTTCTACTGGAAAAGTTAGGGCAAAATGAGAGTTCCTTATGTTTTAACAAATTTGGTAGGCGAGGTTTCATTTTCCTGCTAATTTCTATTATAACATTGAAAATAAATCCTTTTTTAAAAAAGGTTCAGTAGTCCAGAATTAACATTTTAGGCAAAGGAAAGGGTTATATAACAAGGCATTGTCCTAGAAGAGTTTTAGAACAATTTTAGAATTTTGAGGTACATTTAAGAACACATCAGTTTCTTGATTTGCAGGACCAAATGGCACAAATGCACACATACCCAGATCCTAGTCTCAGAAAACAGTTCTCCTTCACATTCCAGTTATGATTGTAATCTTAAAAATCAGTCAGAATGCAAAGTAGGGAAGTCACTTGTTTAATACCTTCTATGCTCAAAGTCATTTTATTTGAATCCCAGATAACTGTATTCAGAAAATAGCCATAAAATTTTCTACTGAATTCTTCATCTTTGTTCTCTACAGTATGATATCTAATAAAGTAATATTAGAACTAGTATAATATTAACATGTTAATACTAAAAGTTATGTTTTATATTTTTTTAGTTGTCATTAAATACCTACTGCATTTTAGGCCAATGTTCATTATACGCACTTTTTTTACGTAGCCTTGCAACCTTAAGCAGCTTACGCTTCTTCTCCGAAGCAGGAACTTCTGGTGTGGGGTCAGAAGCCCAGGCTGTTGTTGAGTTACCTGTACCAGGTAATCTTTTAGAAAATGTCACAGAGCAGGAGCTACGCCATCTAGTCTGATGTGCTACTTCCCTCTCTTTATGCAGCAATTGCTTATCCATCAGCAATGATATGACTTGCTTAGACTTTTTCCGGATATAATAACCTGAAAAATACATTGAATTTCCTTAGAAAAAATTATGAATCAAGGCTGCAATTAATTTTTATTCAAAAGAAAATTAGGAAAAATGAGTATGTTAGCAAAGTGCAAAAACCTGTGACAAATAGAGGGAAATCTAAGTTTCATTAGAATTATCAATAAATATATTCCTTTTCTTATACTTCACAAAGTAAATGAACATATGATTAAATTATATCATGGACTGGCATTTCATTTTTCACATTAAATACACTTTTAAAAGCACTACTTACTCTGCAATAAATCAAACAAAATAAGCAAACAAGTGGAACGAATTAGATCTAGATGTGCTGACCTAGATGTATGACCATGACATATGGCTAAAGGTTTAAAATAATGTGCACAGCATGGTTCAAATCTGTAAAGCAAAGGGAAATATAAACCAGTATTTGTATACAGAAGAAAGAAGTGGATGGATGGATGGGTAAATAGATGGGCAGGTAGGCAACCAACTGTGTATCCACAACATTATTAATACATGTCATCTTAGAGGGGTACAACTGGGTAGAACAAGTGAAGGGAGGGCAACTGGCTTTTCTTCGGCATAAACTCCTATCAACTTGATGCCAAAAATAGAGTTCCAGAGCACAGGCCAAGACTGCATTCGATCCATGATGCTCTCTTTAATCATCTGTGTGGCTCTGAATCAGGTGGTCTCCCTGGGCCTAAGTTTCCTATCTGAGAACCCAATAAAGCTGCTCCAAGGATGGGTTAAATAACAACAATAATAAAAATAAGATGATATCTACTTCACTTCTAACAAATATGTTCTTTTTAAAAGGAAAGATGTACAGTACTAAATAAATAGTACTGGAAATAGAATAATAGATTGGGCAGCAACTGCTTTGTATCTGAAAGAGATAAAGAAAGAAAAGAGGGGAGGGGGAAAGGAAAGGAGGTAAGGTGAGATGGTGAAAAGGCAAGGGAGAGAGACATATAGAGACAAAGAGAAAGAGAAAATATGGATTCTCTGAAACAAGAAATTAAACTATACAAGAGATAAATATCCAAATATATTGTATAAAACACATCAAGATGAGCCCTGGCTGGTGTGGCTCAGTGGATTGAGTGTGAGCCTGAGAACCAAAGGGTCACCAATTCGTTTCCCAATCAGGGCTCATGCGTGGGTTGCAGGCTAGGTCCCCAGTTGGGGGTGTGCAAAAGGCAACCACACATTGATATTTCTCTCCCATTCCATCTCCCTCCCTTCCCATTTCTCTAAAAATAAATAAATAAAATCTTAAAAGCAAACATATCAAGATGAAAAGCTTGTTAGTTGAGGTGAAGGTTAAAATAAAAATAAAGCTATATACTGTTTTCAATTGGAATCTTTGGTTGTAAGTGATGAAACTCAATTTGAACTGGCTAAAGCAAAGGCCATGAGAAAACCAGGAGTTGCAACTGGGCCTCAGCTTCAAATGAAGCAGAGACTGGAAAACTACAAGGAAGGACTCTTTTCTCCTCTTCCATCTCTGCTTTTCTTTGTGTAATGCCCTTTCTCCTGTTGCAGATTGGCTTCTTCAATCTGGATATGGATATGGCCACAGAAGCTCCAGGTCCACACCTCACAGGCTGCCACCTGAGAAATCTTGCTGAAAAAGTACCATTATCGGTTGAGCCTTGAACAGCAAGAAAAAGCCAGCTATGCAGATACGCCAGAAGAAAGTCCTGCAGGAGGGAAGACCTCAGACTTCATTTCTTCAGGAAAGCCTTCTACTGAGAGATGACAACCCCCACCCACTTGCCCAACACATACGTCAGAGCTGCAGACTTGGTCAGGCCCCCTTTCACACACTCTCACAGCACCTACACTTTTATTTTTTATCCTCACTCAAGGACATGCTTATTTATTTTAGAGAGAAGGGAAGGGAGGGACAGAGAGAGGGTGAGAAACATCGATGTAAGAGAGAAACAGATCGGTTGCCTCTCTCACACACCTCAGCTGGGGACCAAACCTGCAGCCAAGGCACTTGCCCTGACTGGGAATTGAACCCTTGACCTTTTGGTTTATGGGATGACACTCCAACCGAATCACACTGGCCAGAGCTATACTTATTTTTTATAGTACTTTCACAGTTTGTAATTGCCTATTTATTTGGTGTTTTTTTTCCTCCACTAGTGTATAACATCCATGAAGGCCAGAATTACACTTGTTTAAGAGATTCTTAAAGTTTGTTAAATAAATAAATGAATACATTGAGGAAAAACTCCCCAGATGCAGGGAGGGAGTCTATATAAATTCATATCTGAACACCAAGTAAAGAGATTTAGAAACATGGTAAATTCAAAGATCCTGGGCACTGAGATGCACCAGCACAAAAGATACATACCAGACTTGTAGAATATCTATTAGGCTTCATACAAGTAGTTACAAAACATCTCAATAGTCCTCTCTCCATTCCTGACCCACTTACCTACCAAAATCTACTCTTCTGCCCATATTCCTTTCTTAGTGAATTTTACCTCCAATCTAGGCCAGAATTATGAACATTCACCTCTTCAAATTCAATAATCCATGTCTATTGATTGTACATACTAAATATCTTCTGAGTATACTCTCTCCTCTGCATCTCCCTGGTCATTTGTTGCTGTGGTATTCCAGATTATTTTTGGCCTCCCTTCCAGTCTACCCTCTATAGTGCCTCAGGGGTGGGAGTGGAGAAAGGTGTGGAGAGGGAGAGAAGCATCCCAAACATATCTAATTAAGTTATTTTCAAGTTAAAAAATAACAAAAACTCAAGTCAAGGTGCACAGTGAGTCCATGCTTCAATGTACCCCTCTGCTCTGCTCCAAATACACAGCAATAATGGACATCACCAGTCTCAAAAACAAGATAAAAATCTTCATAAGCCAGAAATATAAGAAATGAAAAGGCAGTGTACAGGGCTGAAGCCACAAGCCTGCTAGGCTCTTGATCTAACCCCACGAGTTCAGCTGTTAACTCCTCAGGTGCTAGGGAATCAGGTCTCACTCTTTGATGTTAGGGGCTATCCATGTTTGTGAGAGAAGTCTGGGAAGAAAATGAAAAAAAAAAGCCACTAATTGCTTCTTGGGCTATAATTTATTTGTAACTGTGGGTCTAGAAGCAAGAGAACACACATGCAGGCTTGAAACTAAACTAAGCCACCTGCTGGCTCAGTGACTAGATCCATAGATCCATAGATCCATGACACACACCTAGTATTATCACAGGTATGAGCCCTAAGCTACCTTCGTAAGGGCTGTATTGAAGGCTCTAAGGGAACTGGGTGGCAGGAACTGAAAAACCAACGTAAAAGGAAAAGTGAATATGGGCGGTTGGGGAATAGCACCTCCCTCAAAATAGATTTTTTAAAAACATAATGCTAATAGCCAATAAAAGAGCAATCAAAACAAATTCATTCCAAATGAAATCGGTATGCTACAGCACTATATAGGGTCTTCTATAAGTCAATAATCTATATTGTTACAGGATTTTAACAAAGATTTTTAAATAAATATGATCAAGAGAGATTAACACAGGCATCGTATACATAACAAAATCATGAGATTATGAAACAAAAGCAGGCAGGCCCTGGCCAGATGGCTCAGTTGGTTGGAGTTTCATCCTGTACACCAAAAGATTGCGAGTTCAATCCTCAGTCATGCACAAACTTATGTTGCAGGTTCGATCCCTGGTTGGGACATGTATGGGAGACAACCAATCTATGTTTCTTATTTCTTTTTTAATCTTTATTATATTTTTTATTACCATTTAGTCCCCTTATACCTCTCTTCCCCTAGCAATTACCACATTGTTGTCCATGTCCATGAATCCTTTTTCCTTTTTGCTCAGTCTCTCCATCTTCTCACCTTCTACCCCTAGATGTCATCCTGCTCTCCATCTATGAGTCTGTCCCAATTTTCCATGTTAGTTCAGTTTTTGCATTAGATTCCACATATGAGTGAAATCATATAGTATTTGCCTTTCCCTGACTGGCTTATTTCACTTACATAATGTTCTCCAGGTCCATCCATACTGTTGCAAAGGGTAAAATTTTCTTCTTTTTTTTACAGCCAAGTAGCATTCCACTGTGTAAATGTCCCACAGTTGTTTTATCCACTCATCTACTGATGGATGCTTGGGCTGTGATCTATGTTTCTTTCTCACATTGATGTCTCTCTCTCTCTCAAACTAATGACTATATCATCAGGCGAAGGTTAAAAAAAATAGGCAGAAATTAAATAAGAACAGATGGATATGAAAGGAGACAATTGAAAACTCTAGAAATGAAAACTATAGTCACTGGGATTAAAAAGAAAAAAACCCTCAATATACAAGATAAACATCAGAGTCTAACATGGAGAGAATTGGTAATTGAAAAATAGTACTAATAAATTCTTTCAAAATAGAGCACAAAAAGGCAACAAGATTAATAATATTAATTAAAAGTAATAAGGGACAGATTGCAAGGCCCCAATATTCACTCAAAAAGAAGTTTCAAAGAAGAAAATCGAGGCAATTGCAAAAAAAAAAAGCATTATTCAGAGGAATTTTACAGAAAAGACATGAATCTTCACACCAAAAATGACCTCCAAAGACCAAGCAGGATTAACAAATCTATACTTAGAAACATTTCAGAGAAACAGATTAACATTTAGGATAAAGAGAAACTCTTTGGTCCTACAACAGCCCACTAGCCATTCAGTCAGCAAACATTTACTTGACACTTCCACCAAACCAAGAAAAGAAACAGAGATACAGATAAAATAATCTCAGCCCTCTGAACACCCAAAGCACAGTGAAAGGGACCACCATGTTAATGCCATTACAGTTGTATGATGTGCACTGCAGTAGACATGTGGACATGCCGTTACAGATGGGCAGAAACTGCTGAACCCTAAAGACAGTGGAAAAGACTGTCCAAGTGAATGTTTGCACTGAGTTTTATTTCAGCATGAACATATGTTGCAGGAAATAGGAATCATAAGAGTAAAAATGTCAAGGA